CATTATATTTTTCATGTCCCCCCACCTTTAAAAATGCTTCTCGAGTAGTAGAACTTGTCGAGGCGAGTATTGAAGGTGCGGCGCCGCTACCGACTGAGCCACACGGGCAAAGGAGAAGCGGGCGCTCGGTGGAAAACATAACGGTGAGGACGACAGCTGTACGCAGAGTGACATTAAGCTTTGTACACCGTTATGGTAGAATGCATACCCAAACTCCAAAAATCCTCCGAAAAATCTCCTGTCCCCCCTTTAGAAACCTGCATTCTGCTTCAAGCCTTCAAAAAATAGTCGAACTAGTCACTATACACCGTTACATTAAAAAACATACAGTAACTCCAAAAAACAACTACAAAAATCCAGTCTTTACTCCTTTAAAACAAATTAAACTAGTCTGAAACAAAACTTCTTGAAGTTTAAGTTTTACTCAAAGCTCCAGTAATCATCAGCTATGAAAAAAAAATGTTTCAAATTGATGTTATTTTGACCAAGCTGTTACTAGATGTTGGTTGCTGATTTAAAAAAAATCTCCCCGAAAAAACCAACCTAAATAGCTCATCACTTCATTCTGTTCCATAGTGGAGAGCATCGAGAAGACCGTGCAAAAGTCTGACGTGGCTCCCGGTGTGCAGCATTCTGCCGACACCTGAAACACTATTTAATAGGTTCTAGAAGGTCCTAAATTTCTATGACAAACCTTGAAACTAGCTGCCACAAGGAGTAATAACCCCACTTGGTAGAGTAGAGTCATGATAAAGTGAGGATTTCGGCTTCAGGAACCTCTATTTATAATATTTTTTAATTGGCCCAACCCAAAAAAAGTACCGTATCCAATTTTGAACCCATATGATGAATAAGACAAGATGATGATGATGATGATATTTACAATATTCATAATTTAATTTGAGGGAGAAATTTCTTCTGAAGGGGGTGTATTGTCTACATGGCATCTGGGTCCTTGAGACACTTTGGCGAGGGTCTTAATTAGATTATGACCCTTCTTCCGACATTGCTCAATATGACGACTTTCTTGGAAAAATCCAAAAGAGAAATCGGGGAAGGGAATCTAAAAAAAGTCTGGTTGGGGGTTTTTCAAAATAAATATTTTTCAGAGTCTGTATTTACGACTTGGCCTTCAAGCCCGATGGATCGGAACTGATTTTGGCTGCTGATAATAAAGTGTATCTTTTCGATGTAGCTGAAGGAGGACAGATGCAAACTTTGAAAGGTAAGGGATAATATTCTGGATGCAGAAATCGGAGCTATAGATCCCAGAGCGCAAACTAAAAAGTTTAAAATTCTTTCTTGATTTTGGTCTGTTGGTTTTTGTGATTAGAATGTTGGAACGAATATGACCGCTTTAATGATTCGAACTTTGGAATTAGAAAATATTGACAAATGTGTGTAGTTTAAATTAGGAATAAATTTTTATGAGGTTGCTGAAACATTGAATCCGGGAAATTCCTATTTTGTACTAAACTGTTATAAATTAGAAAACTGAAACTCTACATTTGTCTAGTATATTCGGAAAATTCCAGGCAATTTCAGCAAGTCTGGACCATCTTTTCAGATCTTCAAAGACGATTATCTCCTACTGAACAATAAAAAAAAGATTTTTTAGGTCGGGCACTATTGGTTTTATCAATTGCAGCACTATTTTCTTTCAAAGTTTGTTAGTTTATGAAACATTAAAAATGAATACTTTTTTTCGAATATTCACAGTTTCAAGCTTTTCGGAAGAGCTTCGGAATATGTCATATGTCGATGTGAACTCTATGTGAGATAACCTGAATAACTGTTTCACAATATCCACGGACAAATGTATTCTAAGATCGTGTTAATACGTGCCGATGAAAACAGCTCAACTAAAAACTTTCCAGGCCACAAAGACCTTGTCTACACAGTTGCTTGGTCTCATGATGGTGAGCTGTTCGCTTCTGGAGGAGCCGATAAATTGGTGATTCTGTGGAATGAAAAGCATGAGGGAACACTGAGATACAGGTTGGTAGAATGTAAAAAGAATTATTACTATAAAATTGAAAATTATGGATAAAAGGAGAATTTGAAGCAATAAGATTTTTAAACTGATTTTTACCACTTTTTCGAAGATGGTTAAGTTAATTAGCAAACAATATTCGGATCCATTTGCAGCGACAGCAAGCTCAGTAAATATAAATATCCAAATTGATCAATTACGACGAGTCTGAATCGGTCAATTTTTAGCAGACATATCCCTTAAAAATTTTTAACAAAAGATTTCCAGTCACACCGATATCATCCAATGCATGGTGTTCAATCCATGTAACCAGATCCTATTGACTTGCGCCTTGAACGAATTCGGATTATGGTCCACAACCAATAAGAATGTGATAAAACAACGGAGCAATGCGAGGTGTTGTAGTTGTGCATGGAATACAGATGGAACGGTTTATGCAATTGGTCATGGAGATGGAACGATAACTTTGAGGAAGGGCACGAGTGTGGTAAGCTTCCGCAACTGACTATTTCCCAACTAGGCGTTTAAGAACCACCTATTTTAGGACGTTAGTAAACTGTTAGGGTTTTCAAACGACTGTTTGCGAAATGGACAGCTGCAAAATGTCCGACAAAAACTACATACTACCGTGTTAGTTGATTGAAAATCAATTTCTTCAAAATTCTGGCGATATAAATACATCGAATTGATCATTTCGATGTAGGATAAATTTACATGAATGTTATGAAACAGTGATAGGAAGTCACTACTGCAATTTTAGTAGATTTTATTATGAGGTCTTTAGAAACGGCAAGGAGTCAAATAACCGACGAAAAATTTGTTCAAAGCATGATGATGTGGCCAGAATAAGACATTTTGATATAGAGACATGATCTGAATGTTCTGAAAGAGTGAACCCTGATACAAGTGAAATCTGATAGAAATTCGATAATGAATGAAAAACAAGAAACAAGTTTTTTTTTCAAAAATTCGCTATTGCCTTTTAGTTCTCACAACTCAAAATTTTCAGACCGAAGACCCATCTGTCATTATCCAACGGGACCATAACGAACCCGTTTGGGGTATCTCATTCTCTTCAAACCGTCAATTTGCTCCACGTGATTCACAAGGAAATGTGACATCGGTTGATGAGATAATGGCTGTAATTGACTGGAACAAAACACTCTCTTTCTACACTTTGGAAGGAGAGTTGAAGGATTCGAAACAGTTGGATTATGAACCCCATTGTATGAGTTATTGTTTGAATGGAGAGTATTTGTTGGTTGGAGGATCCAATAAGAAGTTGACCATTTACACAAGAACTGGTAAGTTTGAAGTAAAAAAAAACCAATTGTTTCTCACAAATACAGTATTACTTGATATTTTGAGAGACAGTATAACTTTTTTATTTGAAACATAATTCATTCTCATGAAATAATTCATTAAATTAGGTCCTTAAAGCTTTTTTCCGTATGGACTGAACATTTGAATTTGAATGCCTACTGTGTTCCAACAATATGCTTCTTCCACATTTGAACTTTGAACCTAGAAACTACTGTTTTTGATAAGTACGAAAATCCAAGCTCTGCATTCTGCATTAATCACAGAGTAACCAAACCCGAACTATATTAATTTTGCTTCCAGGAGTCCCCCTTGGCATAGTCTGCCAAATGGACCACTGGATCTGGTCGGCTTGCGTCCGTCCAAACACCAATGTAATCTCTATTGGATGTGTGGATGGAACGGTTTCATGCTACAGTATGGTGTTTTCAACGGTTCATTGTGTGGATCATGCGAGATATGCAATGAGGTAAGTTTTGACATGCTTAGGTTTTAAAAAGCAACTTATTGTTTCAAAAACAAAATTTCGTCTACAATCTAATCCAAGATACCAGTTTGATATCTTATTCCTTTTGATAGCTTATTCCTTTCCAGAAAATCAATGACCGACGTATATGTTCAAAACCTGGAATTCCGAACGAGTTGTCAGATTCGATGTTCCGATCTTGTCAAGAAAATGTCGCTTTATGACACAAAGCTAGCGATTCAACTATCTGACAAAATTCAAATTTATAAACAAACGTCTGGATTAACAAGAACGGATCGGAGGAAATATCTGAAGTACACACTACAGGATACGATAAGGAAGGATTTGAATTCGTCATTGATGGTTGGTTAAGGAGAAAGTAGAAATTGGTCGAAGTTACAGTTTAGACTGACGAAAGATTTACACAGTTTTTACTAGAGACCAATGGTGGATCGAAATGAAATACAGAACTCGAGACTTTCTCAAGTGGTTGAAACAGAAAATGACTAATCATGTTTCAGGTTGTTACACATGGTCATTTGGTAGTTTGTAATGATGAGAAATTGGAATGTTATGATTTCAAGGGAATTCGCAAACGGACGTGGAATATGAAATCGATTGTCAGGTATTTGAGAGTGAGTTTTTTGTTTGTTTTCAAAGTTTGCTGTTTCAACATTTCAGTAATTTGGAGTCGAGTATCACATAATTAGTGTAGCGTTCGATTGCGAAGAAATTATAGTTATAATTAGTTTACACGTAAACCAAAATGCGTAGATATCCAAGATTAGTCAACTGACAAAATATTCATCACTAAATCAAAAATATTTATCAGTAGACAGGAACGAAAATAAAAATTGAATTTTTTTTTTGAAAAAGTTTTTATTAATCTGGTAAAACAGTGAAAGTTTAGAAGAGACAATTGAAAAATTCAAAGGCCCAAAAATGGAATCTAGGTCATGACTTAAAATTCTGATTTTAGGTAATGACGTAAAATTTGAAATTCAGGCTGAAAGTCGAAATTTATTTTATGACCTAGAAATTGAAATCTAAGTCATGACCTCAAAATTGAAATCTAGGCGATGAGCATGAAATTAAAGTCTAGGTCACGGCCTGAAAATTAGAATTTTAGCCAACACCTACAGTACCGCCCAAAAGTATATCAACTTTTGGTTTTTCGACTGTAACATTCTTCAAAATAGAGGTGAAGAGCCAAACTTTTCTGTAAAATGTAGCAATTAACCCGAGAAAAATAATGCAGAAACATTTCAAACCCGAAAACAGAGAAAACAAATTTAGCAACAAAATTTGTTTTTTGGAAAATTTTTGATTTTTGGACGATTTTTTTCAAAATTCTGGAAAAAATAGAAAACGATTATGTGTTTGGAATTTAAAATTTCAACATGATTTAAGAGACATTTGCCAACTTTTGAGCAAACAATAGCTCATTAAAACACAATTCTGTATATGATATGGTCGTTCGAAGTGTCAACTAGAGATTTCCGGCTTCTGGACAATTTCTACTATCGTTCCACAACTTAAAGTGGTCAATATTTGGAACTTTTATGTTTTTAATGTTTTTCAAGTCTTATTCTATAATACATCATCAATTTTCACTCGAAAAAGTACCTCTTTCAGCTCCGAGCACTGGTTTTTAGAATTGTGAGGCAAGCTAAAACAAGCATAATGTTAACCTTAAGTCATTCTGGTGAGATCGGTTGAGGGAAATCCGTGTTTTTTCTTATAGATATCAATACTACCGTTTTGTTAGAACCTATAAAACATGATTCTCGCTTACGAGATGCTCATTCTCAGTTTTGCGATCTGTTTTGGAGCGGGGTTCAAGTTATAAAATTCCTGTGTTAGGTTAGATTGATCATTTGGTCTCGAAAGTTATGGAATCTTGTGTTAATCGTCCTGAAATAGTTACAACAATTTTTTCTTACAAATACATCGTTAAAACAAATTAATGGAACACTCAGAAACTGAAACTGAAGCAGTAGTCTGTTTGATCAGTATTTTACTCAATGAAATGTATTTTTAGATGTTTTCTCGCATTTCAACAGGCAACATTATGCTTTAACATTATGCTTGTTTTAGCTTGCCTCACAATTCTAAAAACCAGTGCTCGGAGCTGAAAGAGGCACTTTTTCGAGTGAAAATTGATGATGTATTATAGAATAAGACTTGAAAAACATTAAAAACATAAAACGTTCCAAATATTGACCACTTTAAGTTGTGGAACGATAGTAGAAACTGTCCAGAAGCCGGAAATCTCTAGTTGACACTTCGAACGACCATATCATATACAGAGTTGTGATTTTATGAGCTATTATCTGCTCAAAAGTTGGCAAATGTCTCTTAAATCATGTTGAAACTTTATATTCCAAACAGATAATCGTTTTCATTTTTTTCCAGAAATTTGAAAAAAATCGTCCAAAAATCAAAAATTTTCCAAAAAGCGAATTTTGTTGCTAAATTTGTTTTCTCTGTTTTCGGGTTTGAAATGTTTCAGCATTATTTTTCTAGGGTTATTTGCTACATTTTACAGAAAAGTTTGACTCTTCACCTCTATTTTGAAGAAAGTTACAGTCGAAAAACCAAAAGTTTATATACTTTTGGGCGGTACTGTAAACATTGAAAATCAGGCTAAGACCTGAAAACTGAAGTTTAATCTGATTTCACTTGAAAATTGCTGTTTCTCCAAGTAGTCATACTTTTCATCAGAATTCATTCATGCTTCGTTTTCGTTTACTTCCGTAACAATAAAATTCTTCCAGGTTCTCGGCGGTCCCGCTCACCGTGAAACACTTGTCCTTGGAACATCAGATGGGGGTGTCTATAAAATTTTCATTGACAACGACTATCCGATTCTTCTGGACACTCGAAAAACGGCCATCAAATGTATAGATATCAATGCAAACCGGACAGTTTTAGCCTCAATAGAAGACACTTTAGTGTGTAAATGGTCAGATATCAATACAGGAGAGACACTGCTCCAAGAGCCCGGATGTCACAGTGTTGTATTTAATACACTGAATGAGAACCTGTTTGCTTTCACTACAAATAACACACTTCATGTTCGAACCCTCACTTCACCTGGACACATTTCTCGAGGAGTTGGATACGTGTTGGGATTTGTGAAGAATCGAACGTTTTGTCTGGTACAATACAGTTTGCAACCGTTGGAAGTGCCTTATACTTTACAATTGTATCAGTATATTGAGAAAAATAATTTCAAGTGAGTATGACAGTGATATTGGTGACGCATCAGAGCAAAGTTCTTTGGAATGTAAAAATACAATATTTCTGAAACGGAAAATGATTAAATTCGATTTTTTTTGTGAAAATTGACTAATTTGTCCATAAGAAAGAAGTGGTTCCCCAACTCCTCAAGCTTGCCTAAATTTACCTTATTTCATTCAAGAAGTATCAACAAATTTTCAACTGTCAAAATATTCTAGACATTGTGATAATTTGTTAGTTGACAATTCTTTGAAAATTTTAGCGGAAAACGAGATAAATTGGATTCAACCCGTCGAGCACTCAAATTAAAGGTTTTAAGATACATTTTATTTTTCAGAGAAGCCATCCGCGTAGCTTGTCTCGGTGTCGTGAAGAATGACTGGGTGTATATGGCTGAGAAGGCGTTGAATGCTCTAGAACTGAAAGCTGCTCACACTTGCTACAGAAAACTTCGAGATAAGAAAATGATGATGATGGTTCATGAGTTAATGGCTAGTTTTTTGAAGTCAAGTATTATGAATCCCTGTTAAAAAAAACCTTCCAGAAACTTCAAAAACAAGGAGAACCAGAAGTGATCATTCGTGCCATGATATGCGCGTATCGAAAGAAATTCCGAGATGCTTCGTCGATTTACAAACAGAATGGATATGAGAACAAGGCGATGGAGCTGTTCACTGATATGCGAATGTTTGATGATGTGCAGGTGGGTTAGAAGAAATAGAGTTGTCATACTAAAGTTTGAAAAGAAGCAGGGAATTTGAGAAGTTTATGAAACTGAAAATAAAATTTTCAAATTTTAATAACCCGATAATTTATAACTTTTTCACTGTTTCTGAACATTTTCAAAGCGAGTAGATTACATCATTCACATTGAACTAATGAGGAAGCAAAATAAATTTCCAGGAAGTAATGACAACAGCATCTGGAGAAACTAAAAAGATGTTGATGAGAAAAAGAGCAAGTTGGGCGCGAGACGCGAATCAGCCGAAAATTGCAGCAGAAATGCTCATTTCGTCTGGAGATTTGGATAAGGCAACAGTGCTGATTATTGATAATGATTGGTTGGAATTGTGAGTTTTCAAGAAGTCCTTGGTTAAGTTTGCAAAACTTTTGGATCCTAGTTTTGAATGGAAAATATTGTTAAACATGTATTAAAAGGGCCCTCTCATGGAAGGGCCCTCCGGAGGTAGCTAGGAACTGAACTTCTAATACAGGTTTTACGGTATTCTGGTACAAAAAATCGGAATGGTTGAAAAGAAAATCAGGTGGCCATGACCGGAAGTCTCACAACGACAACTACAGTAACCTGAAATTATTTGACTGAAAATTGAGAAAATGAAGGCTGAAAATACAACTAAAAGCTACGGTCAAAGTAAAAAAAATTACAAACCCCCTCATTCATTATAACCTGAAACTGATAAACTTTTTTATTCTCACAAAAAATCAATTTCGAATTTCCAGAGCCATTGAAATCTCGCACAAAATCGACAAAAGCGATTTGGAGACGATGAAAAAGTTGTCGTCGTATTTTATCAGAAAACACGAATTCGGGCTTGCTTCGAGAATATTCCAGACTATAAATGATATGAAATCCATTGTCGATATGCATGTCAACGCTGGACACTGGACTGATGTGAGTTTTTTGGAGGAACTTTCTGGAACGAGCATGTTTAGAATTGGATAAATACAAGTAGTGGATGATTAACATCCATTTGTTATTCCCAGATGTAACATAAACCTAAGGAAACAGAAAAAATATGACAACTGTAAATGCTCTAGCAAACGTCACCATATACTAGCACTTTGAGCACAATTATCTCAATTTCTGTGAGAGCTATCAAAAATCTGCCAACTGTAAAACTGTTGGTGATATTTTGATAAGCATTTTATCAATTGACAGATATCTCGTCGGAAACGGAGATAATTGAGCCCAAAGAACAAGCGCTAATATAGAACATTCACCTCGTACTGAAAATGATCCATCAAAACTGTCGAGCCTCTTCTTAAACTTATTATACTTTTGAAACATAAATACTTTTCAGGCGTTTGCAATTGCGGACCGTCATCCGAAATACGTGGAAGATGTGTACCTACCGTATGCCAGATTCTTAGCAGAAAGGGATCGTTTTGAAGAAGCACAAAAAGCATTTCATCGAGCTGGAAAAGAAGAAGAAGCCATGCATGTACTGGAACAACTTACGACGAACGCGGTTAATGAGAATAGATTTGCTGATGCGGGGTTAGTTAAATTACAGTCATTTTTCTGGAACATTTCTAAAAATAAGTTCTTCCTGCGCTTTGAAATTCAGGCACAAAACTGTAAGACTCGGAAGTTCAGCTTGAAGCTTTCGTTTCGTGATCATTGCTAACTGTTAGCTTTCGCTCTACTTATGTATTAGCGACTTATGTATTAGCAATTAACGTTAGAGCACATTTACATAAAGTTTTGAAAAAATTGTCTTGTAAACTTTATTTGATTACTGTAGCTGAGAAGTTTGTCTATTTTTGGAAGACTTAAAGCAGCAATAATTTGTTGAAGTGTTCATACTGTATCGATGTATTCATAAGATCTAGATTTTCCATGATTCACAGTTTATAATCCACTTTTCCAGAACAAAATGTTAAACAAATGAAATAATAAGTGTTTCACTAGTAAATGACTTTCAGAAAATTGGTGGTTTTTTCCTGTTCCACCTAACTGCTACCCGTTTTATTATGCCAATTAATTCGATGCCCCTCATTCAATGACAGCGTTATTTAGATTCTACTACTGGCTGCTGAGTCAACAATATTTGGATCGAAGTCAATCTGAAGAGAATTTGACACTTCTGAATAAAGCAAAAGAAGCAGCACAGTTTGCCGAAGCATATTACGCTTATCATCCAGTTTTCATGTTTTGTGTGAGTTGAAACTCCCGAGAAATCTAATACAGTCAATTTGATATACTTTCGATTTATCAGAAAAACTGTAAAAAGGTTTAAATTTTCCAGAGTCAACCATTCTCTTTCGAGCAAAACGAGAACATCCTCAATATGGCCAGATTTTTGACCTTCACCCCGTACATTGAGAATATTTCTAAAGTGTGAGTCCCTGCTATTAATAGGTTGGCTAAAAAATAAGTTCTTTTCCAGATTCGTCTATTATACAATTGCAAAACTTGCCAATGAAATGGGCGCCTATAAATCTGCAAGAACAGCACTGGATCATTTAACTCGGTTGAGAGTTCGACCGAATTTCGAATTGGATGGACAAATTGAGACAATGACTTTGAATATTAGAGCGAAACCGTTTACAGATGTCGAGAATATGCAGCCAATGTGTTATAGGTAAGGTCATTTTCTACTTTCAGTCAATTTTTCTCGTTTCCTGTGAAAAATATCAAAAAGTACTTAACTAGCAAAATGTTTGTCATAACATGAAAAGTATTTTCTTAGTTGATCACTTTTTGATATATCTTTTGAAGTTGACCAATAGGGAACACTCCTAATTTAGGTTTTACGGCAATACACACTTGCAAAGTTTCGATTCCAAGCCGAAGGACAATCATTAAGCGAATTACTTTAAGAAAAAAAAACGTAAAGGTCTTGAAACAGTTTTTAAAAGCGTTTTTTTCTAAATGTTTGTCGGTTTTACCTTGTAGGAATTTAGCAAAAAAATAATTTGGAGTGCCATGATTTTGGACAACGCGGTCACAAAGCCGGCTGCCGACCATTGCCTACATAATCGTTTTTATCCTCTAAACTTTTTGCTTTTTACTGTCTCAGCCTCTACAAAAATAAAACTTTAGTTTTGTTGAATCAACACTATTAGTTTTTTCGTACTCTGAAAGTATACCATTCTAATTGGAAACCTGCGAATAAATACAATCATAAGCATTAGAATCTTAAAAAATCATGTTTCAATGAAGTCATAAATTCTAGAAGTTTCTCAGTTCATCGATGAAAATGCAGTGTACTTTTCATTTCCAGATGCGGCCTAAACAACCCGTTTCTTGGTGGACTGACTTGTATCCATTGCGAAACTCCATTCATTTTCTCATTCGTCTCATTTGACGTCCTCCCTTTAATTGAATTCAAAATTGAACAAGATATCACTTTCGAGGAAGCAAAAGAGCTTATCGAGAGTGAGCCTCCACTAACAGACGACGATTTCAATCCATTGAGGTCAATGAAAAAGGGTCAAAAAGAAATTATACTGAATCGGGATTCATTGGCAAGACTTGAACGAGGTCATGTCATTATTCAAACTTTTCCACCTCCACTTGCCCCAAAATTCCTTTTCAATGTGATGCCAAGTATCACGATTGCGCAGTGTAAAGGGTGTAATAAGGTAATTAAATATTCAGTAGAGCGCGTTTGCAATAAACATTTTCAAGGTATTCGACCTGGATGATTTCGAAATGGCTTGCCTCCGAAAGGGACACTGCCCGTTCTGTCGAACATCTTATGATAGAAACGAAGCATTTTTCGTGGAAGATGAAGAAGAGGAGGAGAACAACTCGAGTGTCCCAAGTTTTGGACAGTTCTCTAGATTTTCATGAACTTTTTAATAAATATATTTATTTGGTGATATTTAAAAAAAGATTTAAAAAATGGGGGATTTGTGGTTAACGAAAGAATGCGTTGAAACAACTACCCGCCAGATCCGCGTACTTCTCATATTGCGGTGGAATTTTGAACGGGATGGTTCTTTTGATATCCTTCGCCATAGTCATCAAATCTTGAAATGTTTCTTCCTTTTCCGTATTGTTCATATCCGACTTGAAAACATCGAGAATGGGTTGCAATGTTCCAGATTCCAATATTTCAGTTATCTGTTGATAGTCAGCAGGTCCCAATTTCGATAGATCATTAGCAGTGTTGAGCAGACCAAGCATTTTGTGTATTGTATTCTTAACATTTTGTAACGCTTTTTTTTCTTGAGAAGATTCGGCTGTTTCGATCTTATTATCGAGTTTCGATAGAGCATCTTCAAAAATTCTCATTCTTCCAAATGCACCACCCAATCGTAGGAAAAGCTTTGAGACCAAATCGACATTTTTGTCAATGGCCGTATTAGAATCAATTTTCAAAGAATTTGTCATTAATAGGATACAAAGTTCAGTAATTTGCTGTCCAACTTCTAAAAACCTCGCAGCTGTTCTTCCTTTTTGACTCAAACCTTCAGTTTTTTCTTTAACTTGATGCAAAGAAAGAGCCACAACCGATAGCGCATTCGAAATCGATGTATTATTTTCCAATCCTTTTACATCCTTAACCAAGACCGTTGAATGTCCCATGTGCAAGTTGTTGTCGAGGACACAATTTGCACAGAACGCAGAATTTTTGAGTCGAAGGATTTTGGTTTCTAATAGTTCTCCGTTTGTTTCAGTTGTCATTTTGATGTCTCCATTTTCCGATTTCGAAAGCAGATTTGATTCCAATGAGCAACTGACACAAAGACGCAGTTTGTCACAATGGTTGGTGCATTCACAGCACGGACCTTTTGATAGCGACTGAAAAATGTTTTTTTGTTTAAGATAAATTTACTGTGAGCGTCATAAGTATAGTACCCCCCCCCCCTCAGAAAATGGGTTTTTAGACTTCTTGTATCAGATAGGAAAATTTTGTTTACACCATTTGAACAAACGTCGAAGAAAATTTAGATGTGGAAATTTTCGTTTCCATCGGTTGCGTTTGGTCTGATCTATGACCGAAACATCGGAAATGCAAAAATAAAGCGTGTTTTGGGGTTTTGACCTCGTAATCATCAAATCTCGTTATAAAAACTGGGTTTTGTGCTGGATAACCTATTCTCAGAACATTTTATAGTTTTGTGGAAACATGAAGCGTCTGACTTGGTGGATCATGGATAAATCAGCGTTTCAATCATCAAAGCTTCCACGGCCGCCCGGATGGCTGAAAGTAGTGATTCCAAACTGGAAGGCTGCCTTAATTACATTTTTTCCATGTGTTTATTATTATGAGAACATTTTGGACCCATCTCTGCTACTCACAATGTCTCAATCGAAACCTTGTTCCGAACTCCACCTCGGCAGTCATCACACCTATCAGCTTCAGACGCCGCGAAAATCTTTCTAGGGCATTCAAGACTTCAGGAACACTCTGCAAGATCTTCTCAAGTTCTCCAAATTTTCTTTGGCGCTTGTTCAAATGGTGTAAACAAATTTTTCCTATCTGATACCAAGAAGTCTGGAAACCCATTTATTGAGGGGCGCGCTATTCTTATGACGCGCACTGTATTAATTGTTGATGAAACATATCGTAACTACCAGAGATGCCTTGAATTTCTAGGCGATATCGAGTGCTTGTTTAACGTTTTCTATAAAACATTTCTTGACCATCAAAGTGTATGATATCTTCTTTTTTTAGGGATTGGAAGTTTATTTTTCGGAGATGAATGTCAAATCAGAATTTCTCACCTCAGGATCTGATATTCCTTCTGCAATCACTTTCAATGACATATTCTCTTTCAATCGATCCAATAGTTCCATAGCTTGATAATTGATATTTTTGGTTGCATAAGAATCAGGTTTACCGCAAGTTGGACAAGTTGAAGACTTTTTCTGATCAAAACATGGTTCGCAAATCGAATGGCTACACAAGGCGCCGGAGCAAATTTTCCGGGTTGTGCTGTCTGAAAGTTTTTCAATTTTGAAGAACTTCTGTCAATTTTGAAACCACTCACCATAGATTTCTTCACATTTCAGACAAACTGCAGAGCTGAGACTGGGCATTTTTTGGGTAGTTGTTATAACTGGAAAATTTCCTATTTATAGCGGAAAAAAGAGTTACTGAATTTTTTGATAAAAAAATTGATAAGGAAATGTCATGAAAAATTTCGAATTGTTTGCGACATAAATATGTAATGAATTAAGAAAATGCAGAGCTGAGACTTGGCATTTTTTGGGCTAGTTGTTGTAACTGGAAAAAGACAGGTTCATAGTGGAAAAAGGAATTGCTGATAAAAGCAAACTGATAAGAAAATGTCATGACACATTTCGAATTGTTTGACATTCAAATATGTAATAAATTGAGAATGAGGAAGAGAATCGATTCTCCATCCTCACTCTTATTTCCCATCTGCTGATTTTCTTCTCTGACACTCTCCAATCTCTTTCTGTTGAATCTTCCCTGATGAAATGTGAAGTAAGTTGTCTGCAGTTCAATTTGAAACAGCTTAACGCTTTTCAGAAGGCTAATAATTATTTATCAAAACTGATAGAATCCTAATGGGATGCTCAAAAGGGAAAAGTATATAACTGGATCGTTGGTTAATTTCCTTATGAAGAAAGCATAGACCAACCACCATTTAATTTGAGTTGAAAAATTTCTTCAAGCTAAAAAACGAAAAAACTCAATATCAGGTTGAAATAACAAAGGAATGTTTTTTTTCAAACATATTTTTCAGTGGATTTTGACAATTTTCAGCGTGGGTCTGCAGGAGCTGGACATCAAGCTAGAACTGAAGCTGGAAGTTAGGAGCATTTCATGACGGGGGAACTGGATCAGGAACAAAATGAAATGCTGTTGGAGGATCTAGAAACGAGCGTGGTCGTCTAAGAAATCTGCTGTACGAAGCATTTTTTGTGGAAGATGAAGAGAACAACTCGAGTATCCCAATTTTTGGACAGTTTTTCAGATTTTCATGAATTTTAATAAATGGATTTATTCTGCGATAATTTAAAAATAATTCAAAAAATGGGGGATTTGTGGTTAACGAAAGAAGGCGTTGAAGCAGCTTCCCGCCAGATCTGCATATTTCTCATACTGTGGTGGTATTTTGAATGGGATGGTCCGTTTGATGTCTTTCGCTATAGTCATAGATTTGAAGTTCATCTTCTTCTGTCATATTGTTCATATCCGGTTTGAAAACATCGAGTTGTAATGTTCCAGATTCCAAAATTTCAGTTATTCGTTGATAATCATCGGGCCCCAACTTTGGTAGATCATTTGCAGTGTTGAACAGATTAAAAAGTTTGTGTAATAGATCCAGCGTTATTTTATCTCCGGAAGTTTCGACTAATTCGATACTATCATCGAGTTCCGATAGAAAGTCTTCGAAAATTCTCATTTTTCCCTATGTACCATACACTCGTAGTGAGGGCTTTAATATCAAATGGACATTTTTGTCAATGGCCGCATTGGAATTAATTTTCAGAACATTTCCCATTGATATGATAACAAGTTCAGAAATTTGCTGTGCAACTTCTATAAACCTTATAGGTGCTCTTTCCTCTTGATTCAAATATTCAGTTTTTTCCTTGATTTGATGCAAAGAAAGAGCCAAAACAGATAGTGCATTTGAAATTGTTGTGTTGTTTGCCAATCCTTTTACATCCATCAGCAATACAGTTGAATGTCCCTTGTGCTTGTCGAGGACACAATCCGCACAAAATGCGGTACTTTTTAGACGCAGAATTTTGGTCTCCAATAACTCTCCGTTTGTTTCAGTTGTCATTTTGATGTCTCCATTTTCCGATTTTGAAAGAAGATTTGATTCCAAAGAGCAGCTCACACAAAGGCGTAATAATTTCTCACCTCAGGATTTGATATTCCTTCTGCAATCACTTTCAATGACATATCCTCTTTTAATCGATCCAATAGTTCCATAGCTTGATAATTGATATTTTTGGTTGCATACGAATCCGGTTTAGCACAAGTTGGAGACTCGGCATTTTTCGGGTACTGTTTTAGTTGTTGTAACTGGAATTTGTCATGTTTATAGCGGAAAAAAAAAAATTACTGATAGAAATCAACTGATAAGGAAATGTCATGAAAAATTTCGAATTGTTTGCGACATAAATATGTAATGAATTAAGAATGAGGAAGAGAATCGATTCTTCATCCTGTATTAATTGTTGATAAAACGTATCGTAACTACCAGAGATGCCTTGAATTTCTAGGCGATATCGAGTGCTTGTTTAACGTGTCTGTAAAACATTTCTTGACCATCAAAATGTATGATCTTTTCTTTTTTTTAGGACCTGGAAATTTATTTTTCGGAGATGAATGTCAAAGCAGCATTACTCACTTCAGGATCTGATTTTACTGCCGCAATCACTTTCAGAGACATATCCTCTTTTAATCGATCCAATAGTTCCATAGCTTGATAATTGATATTTTTGGTTGCATAAGAATCCGGTTTAGCACAAGTTGGACAAGTTGAAGACGTTTTCTGATCAAAACATGGTTCGCAAATCGAATGGCTACACAAGGCGCTGGAGCAAATTTTCCGGGTTGTGCTGTCTGGGAGTTTCGAAAAACTTGTAATTTTCAGTCATTTTTCCAACCACTCACCATAGATTTCTTCGCATTTCAGACAAACTGCAGAGCCGAGACTCGGCATTTTTCGGGCACTGTAGAATCGATTAATCCCAAGTTTTGGACAGTTTTCCAGATTTTCATGAATTTTATTATAATAAATGGATTTACTCTGTGATAGTTTAAAAAAGATTCAAAAAATAGAGGATTTGTGGTTAACGAAAGAAGGCGTTGAAGAAGCTTCCTGCCAGATCTGCATATTTCTTATACTGAGGTGGAATTTTGAATGGGGTGGTTTATCTTAATATCCTTCGCCATAGTCATCAATTCTTGAAGTTTTTCTTCCTTATCGCTCGGCTTCAACATCAAAACATCGAAAACGGGTTGAAACGTTCCAGATTCTAACATACCAACTATATTCTGATAGTCAATTGGTCTAAACTTTGATAGATCCTTTGCAGTAGTCGAATCTCTTGTAATAGCTGCTTCTTTTTTTGTAACGCCATTTTTTCTTCAGAAGTTTCGGCTGTTTCAATTCTATTATCGAGGTCGGATAGACCGTCTTCAAAAAATTTCATTTCTCCTAATGTACCATACAGTCGAAGCAAGAGCTTCAAGACTAAATCCGAGTTTTTTTCGAAAATTGTATTGGGATCATTCAGAAAGTTTGCTAGTGATGTGATAGTAAGTTCAGTAAATTGATGCCCAAACTCCAAAAGCCTTATATCCGACTTTTTTACACTGAACTTTTCTGTTTTTTCCTTGATTTGATTCAATGAAAGAGCCACAACAGATAATGCGTTTGAAATCGTTGATTACAGAACTTTTAAGTCGAAGGATTTTGGTTTCTAATAGTTCTCCGTTTGTTTCAGTTGTCATTTTGATGTCTCCATTTTCCAATTTCACGAGTAGATTTGATTCCAAAGAGCAGCTGTCACAAAGACGTAGTTTGTTACAATAGTTGTTGCATTTACAGCACGGCCCTCTCGATAGTGACTGAAAGATTATTTTTGTCAGAGATAAATGTATTTACGGTTTCTAAAGCTTAATATACCGTAAAAACTCTATTAAATAGCCATGGCAATCTATATTGTTCGGGGGTGGTCTGGGGTGGCACTGTATTAGGGGGTGGCATTCAATTAGAGGCTGGCACTTCATTGTTCGGAGCCAATTTCTACTGAAACTCATCACAAAAGGACTCGATTTTTAACTTTTTCATAAAATGACTTTCGAGGTTTTCTGGTTTTTTCTACTCATTTTTTTAGACTTTCGGAGTCTGATATTATCCTGAAACATTTTTGACAAATACATACGGTACCTCTTTTAAGCTTGAAAAAACTAGAAAACCAGAAAATGTTTTATTTGTGTTATTCTTCAACTTTTACCACAGTGACATCAAATCCACAGTGGCATTATATTAGGGGCTGGCACTCTATTGTTCGGAGGTGCTCTAGGATGGCACTATATTAGAGGCTGGCATTCAATGAGGGGTGGCTATCTAATAGAGTTTTTACAGTAACCAAAAAAGATGTTTTGAATTTCTAGGCGATATCGAGTGTTTGTTTAACGTTTTCTATAAAACATTTATTGACCATCAAAATATATGATCTTTTCTTATTTCCCTTCTGCAATTTCTAGGCCACTAACTATTTAGTAAGCTTTTTTCGCATTTCAGACAAACTGCAGAGCTGAGACTTGGCATTTTTTGGGCTAGTTGTTGTAACTGGAAAAAGACCGGTTTATAGTGGGAAAAGGAATTGCTGATAAAAGCAAACTGATAAGAAAATGTCATGACACATTTCGAATCGTTTGTCATTCAAATATGTAATAAATTGAGAATGAGGAAGAGAATATATTCTCCATCCTTGCTCTTATTTCCCATCTGCTGATTTTTTCTTTGGCGCTCTCTTATCTCTGTTCTCGATTCTTTCCATTTTCTTCACATTCCCTTGCTCCTTCCCTCTCTGCTCTTCATTTTTTGTCCTGTCAAAATGTCTACGCTAAGCAATGCATTCTGTGTGAAATGTCATGAGATGTATAGTAAGTTGTTATTCTTTCAAATTCTATCCAATCTCTTCCTTCAGATCTTGAAACCCGTAAGATGTGTGTTGGAAAGTGTAGTCATTCAATATGTGAACCTTGTTTCGATCGAAAACTTTCTGGAACTTGTCCAATTTGTGAGATAGCTGATGCTTTTGAGGATAAGATCATCAACTGGGAAGCTCATAAATCGATTTCCGCATTTATAGAGTCAATGTCTTTAGTGTCAGCGTTTGATACGAGTTTTTTTTCAAAGGTTTGTGAGTTTCTTTTCTACGTAATGTTGAGCAAAACGCGATTTTTTTGAGATTTAGAACTAGTTCTTTAAGATTTCCTCAAATGCGAAACTCATTTTTGAACAATTTTCAGAGTTAGGCTCTTGTTGCTTGTTTTGGATATAAAAAAATTGATTTCAAAAATCTGATTTTGAAGAAGAAACCGTTGTGATTCAGTTCTGAGACGTTAGATTTCAGACGTTTTCGAACTGCCCAGTGGATGGAAAACGAGGTTTTTTAGTCTGAAGCTATTATTTCCAAAATAAAATTCAGTCAATGAAGTACTGAAAATTAGCGAACAAATTAAATTATTACTTCAGTAAACAAACAACCCTTGTTGAGCCAACGCCCATCCGACAGTACGTCCACCGTACCAGTCTGCGGTTTCGAAACCTGATTTTTACCACACTATAAAAATTTTTTCGAAAGACAAGTATCGAAAGAGCAAAAATTTCGGGGTCATTAGATTACAAACCAATTTTGGGGTACAAAATCCGACTCTAGTTTAGATGTCCCAAAAAAATTTGAAGGTCCCAAAAAAAAAGTCTGAAAAAAATTAGAGGTTCTAAAAAATTTTAGAGGTCCCGAATGAAAATAGATGTCCGAAATTTGAAAAAATCGCTGCTGTTGGATTAATGTACCAGCATTGAAACTTTGTGAGAAATTGAAGTTTTGGAGCCTTATAGAAGAATGTGTTTATGATACACTGCTGGACATAATTATAAGTTCACTTTGAATTTCGAGTTTTCTCGAAAACTGTGAATATAGTCTGAACAGCATATGAACGCAATAAATACTATTTTGAAATGTCAATTAATTAATACCATTCGATACCACTATCGTTGATTTTGGAAATTTCGAAAAAAAAACGAAAAAATGACCCGAAAAAAAGGGACATAATTATAAGTTCACTTGAAACAATCGAGCATAACTCGGGATATAGGTTTTGCACTGTGAGGACACTGCAAATTTTAACAAATATAACTCAGTATAGTCCTATTAGCATGATAAACTTGGATGTAACTATACTCATAATTATGCCTCATCCGTTTTTGGCCAGCTTATACTGAAAATGAAGTTTTTCGTTGATAAATGTTCTGAAAATTACAAGGACTCTAACTTTTTGAGTTTTTTAGTATTATTCTTAAATGCATTCCTCATTTAACTGTTGAAAACATTATGGTTTTTTAACCAACCGAAACAAAAACCTGCATTTCGATTCATTTTGGTCGCTATGTTCCAAGTGGTACTGTACCTTGCTCAGTAGAAACTTGACTGAGCTAATTAACATATAAGAAAGATACACTCGTGTTTTTGTAGTTGACGTCTCTTTTCGGAACATTCATTCCGAAGAGATATGAAGTACCTTCTGAGGTTAGAAACGTAGATTATTGACTGATTTTTTTTTACTTGGAGTGGACCTATCAAAATGAATCTTTTGCATATTTTATTTGCAATTTTTCCAATATGTTCAGAAACTTTAAAGTAGGTGAAACGGTTTCTAAACAAAAATTGTGAGCTCGGAAATAGGTCATATTTTTCAAAAAATTGCAGTTTTCCAAGGTTTATTGTTTGTCTATGCCGGAATGCTTGAGAAATATCCCTAGTTTATATGGAAACTCAAGAACCGGCAAGTGTGATTATAAAAAGAAATTTCAGATTACGTGACTCCTTCCTCACAAAACAACTCCTAAAACATGCCCACCCATAACCCAATTTTTTCTTTGAAATTTATGTGGTCCGAAAATTGGCGTGATTCTATGAACACAGATACAGTTTTCCATTGTTTTATGTATGTTCCTAAATGAACACAAGCGTATCTTCCTTTCATGCTAATCAGCTGAGTCAAATGTCTACTGAGCAAGGTACAGTATCACTCGGAAGATAGCGACCAAAATGAATCGAAATGCAGGTTTTTGTTTCGGTTGGTTAAAAAACCATAATGTTTTCAACAGTTAAATGAGGAATGCATTTAAGAATAATATTAAAAAACTCAAAAAGTTAGAGTCCTTGTAATTTTCAGAACATTTATCAACGAAAAACTTCATTTTCAGTATAAGCTGGCCAAAAACGGATGAGGCATAATTATGAGTATAGTTACAACCAAGTTTATTATGCTAATAGGACTATACTGAGTTATATTTGTTAAAATTTGCAGTGTCCTCACAGTGCAAAACCTATATCCCGAGTTATGCTCGATTGTTTCAAGTGAACTTATAATTATGTCCCTTTTTTCGGGTCATTTTTTCGATTTTTTCGAATTTTCCAAAATCAAGAAACGATAGTGGTATCGAATGGTATTAATTAATTGAAATTTCAAAATAGTATTTATTGCGTTCATATGCTGTTCAGACTATATTCACAGTTTTCGAGAAAACTCGAAATTCAAAGTGAACTTATAATTATGTCCAGCAGTGTATACAGTGGCGAGAAGTGGTGAGGAGAATTTTTTCTAGCATTCATAACTTTGTTCAAAATAGCTCAATTGACTTGAAATTTTGCATGAGAATAGCTGTAAAATCCAAAAACATAAAAATCGGTTTTTTGAAAATTTCTCATTTTCTGAATTTTCAGAGCAGTTTCAGATGTAACAGTGGTTTGTGAATCCAAAAACAAATACCTTTTTCAGAATTTTTTCCGGGTATTGATTTTAGATGTAAAATGATTCTTAGTGTCCAAATATACACCAAAAAAGATTTGAAGAGGTATGGAAGCCGGGCTCTCGAGTTATGATGCGAGCACGAAAGGTATGTGTCGGCATTTTTTATGCTCACAATTTCACAAGTGATGTGTTTTGAGTTGTTTATCAATTTTTTGTTGATATTTTTCAATTGTAGAAAAAATTCATTTTTTCACCCTAGGGAAAATCTCTAAAATCGACCAAATTGAGAAAAAAAAAAGTTATACAATTGAAAAACTTTTTGTTATAAAACTGATGAACAACTCAAAACACATCATTTGTCAAATTTTGAGCATCAAAAGTACATTTTCAGCTGAGTAAAAATGCCGACGCATACCTTTTCCGGGCCGGGCCGGGCCGGGCTTTTTCCGGAATTTCGGAGGCCCGGCCTTTCACGGAGGCCCGTCATTTCACTAGTTTCGAAATTTTCAAAAAACACATAAGGGTGATTTTTTTCGACCAAAAAATTTTTTTTCGAGTTTTTCTATCTTTTTTGATCAGACAGACAAACAATCCGAAATACGAAAAAAAAATGGAAAAAATTATATTGAGTGCTCAAAATTTGGCTCAAAAATACAGAATTTTTGACACCGGCCCTTCCGGGCCGGGCCCGGGCCTTGAAAATTTCCTCAGGCCCAGCCCGGCGCGGCCCGGGCTTCGGCGGGCCGGCATGGAGTTTTACAAGTATGGAAAAAGGTATTTTTTTCGATTCACGGACCACTGTTACATCTGAAACTGCTCTGAAAATTCTGAAAGTGAGAAATTTTCAAAAAACCGATTTTTATGTTTTTGGATTTTACAACTATTCTCATGCAAAATTTCAAGTCAATTGAGCTATTTCGAAAAAGAGTTATGAATACTCGAAAAATTCTCCTCACCACTTCTCGCCACTGTATGTGATACTTTTAGCATACTTCATTTTTAACAGGGTTAGGCGTGTATATTTTCTGGAAATTACCCAAGCCTGAGAGGCTTACGTTGAGAGAGATCATCCAGTTGTGGTACATTATTCCAACATCTGTGCATTTTCAAAACATCGACTCTCTTTTTTTTCAGACCTCAGTTTTATATCGGGACCTCTATTTTATTACAGGACCTCTGACTTTTTCGGAGCTATAAACTTTTTGGAACCTCGAAACTAGAAAACAGTCTAAAATCCTCAGTTCGGGTGCACAAAGTGGCTGAACAATTCGTTGTAACCTCCAAATTTTATGCCCTCCCACTTGCATTTCATGGCCCCACCCCCTTTAAAAGAGCTAACGTTGAATTTAAACATTTGCTCTTTGCAGAATTTCGGAAGTGGACCATGCTCGGAGTGTAGACATCACAGTAATAAACTCCGTGTTTGTGCTGACTGTACATCAGATCGGGACTTTTAACGAGATCATCAGATGGGACTTTGGAATTGTCCAGTGAAACTGAAGACGATTCTGTTGAGACCCAAATCCTCCGTGTCAGAAGTATCGCTGTGTGTTCGGACTGTGCTCTAGATGGATCAAGGCACAAGGGACATGAACTGATATTTGTATCAAAGATCAAAAAGTTTGAAGAAGCTTTTAGAATGTTGGAATTTCTATCGACAGCTGCGTTTTTTCTCAAAAATTTGGTAAATGAAGGAACTGGATTTAAAGAAATGGAATGGGATGTAAAAAGTTACTCATTGTTCAAAGAATGGACCCAATTCGCAGAACATTTGCTTAATATGGCAGAGAGCATGAATACAATGGATGAACATCTAGAGGATACTGTTTCACTTTCCAAAAACCTTTTCCTATGTTTGGAACCGATTCTGACCCCTATTGGGTATTATGTCAAGCAAGATATGGAAAAATCCATCAAACTTATGCAGGAAGCAGAAGAATTAGAAGAGAAAGAAAATTGGCGAAAAATTAGTGAGAAGTTAGAAAGCTTACACATATTCTTTTCGACTCGGGAAACACGCTCCGACTTGAAATCTGCAATAATTGGTCTTGTCGATGTTTTTCAATCTGGTTCAATCAGAAGAGATTTAAATGTAGATTTTCGTCAGCTTGTGAAGACGGTGAAGGATGTGCGACGAACTTTCAAACTACCACAACAGTATGAGGGATATGCTAATGTTGCTGAAAGTGTTCTTCAGTTTTTCTGGGGAGATACGACGAAGTAGCTGATGAAGGAACTTAATACAAACTGCCTTTTTTTCAGCATTTTTCCGAAGTAACTCAATAAAAATTTATTTATTTACAGTAAAATAAATCAGTTCTGTACAAGATTTCTATTATGATTGACTTCTCCACTCAGTTCGGTGATATCTCTGGTCAAATGATACTGATAATACTTATCATCAGATAGTTTTGAAATTTCGAACAATGGAAGAAGATTGATATCCAGTTTAACCTCTTCGTTTTCTCTGTTGCAGTTGTGGTAGAGAACCATTTTAACGTTGAAGAACTGCAATGTGTAGTTCTTGCGTTTTTCAGAAAAATATAAAGTTAAACTCACATCTGACCAAAGCTCATCTCCTGTGAGCATTCCAGTCACTCTGAATTCAGCATTTCCAATTGGTGACCGACTGATATGAGGCTTTCCAATGGAATCATCATCATTGAGTCTGAAGAAACGTAATTTCATCATTTGAGCGCACTTGCAAATTTTTGAAAACTCACATAACAACATCTCGATCAAAAAACTGTGCATTGTATGCAAACGTTGCTCGATTGGGAACACGACATATCAAATCAACATAAAAAGTGAAATAATACTTTTTGGATTGGACCACCGAGCTGATGAGGAGGATAAGAAAGAGCAGTTTAGAAACTCCACGCATTTTCAGAATAATGAAATGATTAGGAATTTTGGGAATGATAAAGATAAAAGAGAGTTTTGGAGATTAGGGGCAACCAGAAAAAGTTCAGAGATATTGGTAAGATCAGAGCTAGAAATGAATTCAAAAGCTGAAAAAACGCCACAATATTCTTGCACTTTGAGCTCAGTTGTTACAGCTTAATCAAGGATGTTCGGAATGACCTTTTTGGAATTTTTCGGAATGTCAAAAAATTCCGATTTTAAAAGTTTCGGAATCTCGGAATTTTTCGATTTTTTTAAATTCGGATTTTCAAAATTGTCCGATTTCGAAATTTTCGGAACTTCGGATCTCAGCCGCCTTAAAAGAGGTTGAGTGATGTTCACCGAAAGACCTTTAAAACGAGATCATATATGTAGGGTTTGTATAGCGGCCGACATCTCCCGGGTCCACTATAGTTTGCGTGCAATGTGGGCGGGGCAGGTCGACGACCATGTTAGAGCTTATTCAAGGAGCTAATATTTTCTCATTTTCGAGCATTTTTCACCGTTTTTTTTTTGAAAGATGCGAGCATATAAACGTATTCCATGGCTTAAAGATCCTAAAACACTGTTTAGCATTGTCAAAAACATCAATTTCAATGAATATCCTCGATTTCTAATTTTTCTGGCTTTTTTCATTAAGCCATATATAAAATCTGAAAAGAATGATTAACTTTGATAAATTGAGAATAATTCGTTTTAACCGTAAATTTCTGTTTTTTTTTCAAATTTGTAAATTCCAAGCATTTTCCCTTTCAGACTATGTACCAGCTGAATAATTTTCTTGAAAATTGAGCAAAAATTCTTTCGATTGAGGCTCTGGAAATATGTATTTTCTAGCACATGAGGAAATTCTAGAAAAAGATTTTCTATTTTATAATTTTTTATTAATTAAGGAAATAATGGATTTTTCATACATTTAAGACCGGGAAATTTGTAAATCATGACTTTAGTAGATTTCCAACAAATCCCGCATTTTTCCCCTAATTCAGAATAGAATATAATATACAAAGTCTTCCGGTTATTCGCGAATGTGGAGTAAAGAGTAGTGTAGTCAAATAATCATTGCCCAAAGTTCAAAGAGAAATTGCCTCTAAAAACAAAGTCTTGAGAAAAAAACACACTTTACGGATAACTTTTGGTAGATCGAAAAAAATTTTATGAAAAATTTATCTTTACTGTCGACGATTGATAAGTGTTACGTTAATAAAAAACTCGATTAATTTCAGACAAGATTTATTCTTATAGTTTTTAACCATCCCAGAAGGGCACTAGCCCTCATCATTCTTTTTTTTCACTTAATGAAACCGAAATTTCCCACTGAACAAAATTCTCAAATGTTCAGACAGAATGAGCAATATTAGAGTCGCAACAAATACAAATATCGAAAAATGGAGAGAAGACCAAGATCCTGGTGCTATCGTAGATATACTAAAGAGAAACAGGTTTTCATTTGTTCAACAGAGCTCAAGGAGTATTGAATTCATTATTTAATATGGTCCAATGAAAACCGACAATAAAAAATAGGCCAAAAAATAAACAATTTAAACATAGATTCAAAATATTTGATATATCAATGTTAGACTAATTATTTAATTATTATTATCGATTATTAGTTCATGAAAATAAAAATTTGATTGCTGATAGGGTGTTGTGTAGGCTTTAATACTGTTCTGGGTGTCACGGGGATTCCTGTTCCGGTTCTGGCTGAAATTTTGAAGCGAATTGAAATTATTTCAGAATCAAAAATTAAACAATACATTTATTGGAGGCTCTTCAACTGGCTTCACAACAACTACTGGTTGAATAATGTTGACTGGAGGTGGCTGAAATTAGAATGATGAGAAAAATCTGGAACGAAAATTTAGGATACGTACAACAGTTAGAACTTGCCCGGCTTGTGGTTGGTTAGAAATTGAATGAAGAGCCTGCGCAACTGAGTAAGCAAATTCTGGATCTATATGAGGCAACATTCCATTGGCAATTTGCAACTCAAATAGAGGAGACAGTGAAAATTCAAAATTATCGCTTCTAGATGGCATCGTTTCTGGTTGTCTTTGTTCAATGTTGACATGTTGTGTCTGAAATTAGAATGATGAGAAGAATCTAGAACAGAAAATTAGAAAAATACATTAAAAAACGGTCCGGTTCCTTGTTGCGAAAACGGTTCAGGAATTCCGCCTAGACGACTTTGAGCTGACTTCAAACCGATATTCATTCGTTGTGGTTGAATAGGATTCACAGTATGCGGAAATGCACCGAGTGCTTGAAGCTTAGGTAGATCTGATGGGGACATTACAGAATTATCGCTCGTAGATGGCATCATTCCGTGCCTTTTCTGAGGAATCTGGTCTGTGGGTTGCCACTGAAAAATTAATAGGATCAGAATTTTAAGAAATGCTGAGAATAATACAGTATCTGTATCTGCATCCGAATCTGCATTCGTCTTATTCTTCTGTGACTCTGACTTAAACTGAAAATACTCTATTTTCTCGAGATTTCAAACATTTTCAACTTACTTTGCGAGAGCATGCCACAAACTTTTGATGAACGATTGCAAAAGTCTTTTCTTCGTCTCCTTCTTTCCGGATTCTCAACTTCACTTGATACATTCTACTACTAGTCAAGTCCACATCATATTTCGCATCAGCAGGTGCATCACCAAAATAGTGTCCTCTTCGGAACCAGAGTTTATCGAAATTCACTTTTGATTTTTTCCAATACCTTCCTGGCTGTGCCTTGTGCCTGTGAGAAACTTGCCTCACACGCGTATCCACTTGTTCATCGTCGCCTGATTTGAGGAGCTGTATTCTGAATGTTTCTGCCGTATGTCTTGTGAACCTGGAAACCGGAAAATCTTTGGTTGATTAAAAAATACACAACACAAACGCAATCAAAATAACTTGCCTGAGATGTGAATTTTTGCTTGGATCGAACAGCAATTCCATTTCATACTCACTATCCTCCTCCAGACCAGTGACTTCGTATTCAAACTTTAAATTCTCCGGGGGAAATTTATTCAATATGATTGCAGCATATTTAGGATGGTTAATACTTTCAATATCAATAGTATCCTCATCTACTTCTCCGCCTCCTTTTTCTTTCCACTCTTCTTTAGTAGTGCATCTGACTTCAATGTTGCTCGTTGTGTCTGGAAGTCGATAGAATTCTGTGAAAAGAATATCAGAAACCGAAACTATATAAAATTTGTGGTACAGAGCTCAAGTAGTACGAAACTTTTCAATTGACATGTTCCAACTAAAACCAACCTTTGATTGGAGGCACCACTACAACTGGTCCAACAACAGTTTGTGGTTGCCTTTGTTCATTGTTGACTGGTTGTGGCTGAAATTAAAGTGATGAGATGAATATCTAAAAAAAATTAATTTTAGAATGTTACATTGGAAACTTGTCTGGCTCCGATCCTTTGTTGCAAAAACTGCTCATCGTGCTTTCCTTTCAGTTATGTTTCAGGTCGAGGTCGGGGCAGGTTGGGGGGGGCTCTTCTATTGAAAGTATTACGGTAACAGCACGCAAAAAACAGTTATAAAAGGTCAAAACAAACTTAATACTCACAGTTCGATGAACAACAATGAACTCTTGTTCCGGAACATCGTGATCTACATATGATTCCCCTGGTTTCTGGACCCTTATTTTGACTTTATACTTCCAAGTATTATTCAAAATCACTGTATATTCGCCCTTCATATTTCCACGGGGTCGTTTAAACCATAGATTTGGAATACAAATTGCGGACGACATCCAGTCTCTTCCTTTTTGGGGGTTCGGGAAAAAATCCAAAATGGTCGGAGTGAACTCAGCAAATTTTTGGCACATGTGCCGCTACTTGGGGCACGGGTGCCGCTGCAACGCGGTAATCGTGCCCGGGGGGTCGGGGCACGCATGCATTTTGCGTGCCGTTGCCGTGCCGTATCCGTGCTCATGTGTGCCGTTATTTGAATTTTTTTTCTCGAAATCGGGTGAATTTTATCGATTTTTCTTAAATCAAACAGTTTATTTGATTAGGAATGCAACAACAACAAAAAACAACGATGAGAAAATTCAAAAATGTAGAGAATATTGCGCAGATTGTGTTGAAGATGGCGACGACATTAAGATTCCTCCTCCTCTTCTCCAGCTTCGTGGGCCCTGCTCTTGGCAATGTGTCTCTGAAAGAATGTTAAAGATTATTGTCGAATCAAATTGGATGGAAACTCACTTTTCTTCTTGCGAAGTATCCTTTGAAGATCCATCGGCAATTATGAATGTTCCTAGACGAAGCTCTTTGCTGAAAATAATTTATTTGTTAAATGAAAAGATTACAGATAACTTACAGAGCATTTTTAAATTGAGCTCGAAACGTATTAGTTTTGAACGATATGCACCTTGCTTGTCGACTTCTTCTTCGGATACTTCCTGAAAAAAAGATAATATTAAAACATTTGGAAAATGAACTTACTCTAACGGAACAATCGTTCAGAAGTAACCATTTGTCTTCGTTACTTTTCGCATATGCGATGAAGTGAGAGCGTAGCTGTCCGGTGAAGAGTTGTGTGACAAGAGATTCGTTCTGTTTTTCATACTCTGTCCATGATCTTTCCGCTTTTTCTTCGTCAGTTTCTTCTATTTCATGATTTTCCTCTTCTTTCTTGGGGTCTATTGCAGGTGGTGGAGGATGGAGAGTTTTATTGGCTTCATACATTGAAGTATGAAGCTGATCGAGAAGGAATGCGACGAACTCCTGACAGTCATGCTGCTCACTACACTCGAACATGTCCGAGTTCATTCGGATGGCGTCATTGAAATCGTTCGGAGCGATGTTCTTCTTTTTCGCCGCCCACATCTCTCTCAACAGCTTCGCATACTCAATCGTTGTCTCCACAGCATCCCTTCTTTTCGTATTTGCCTTCTTCAACTCATCCAAATGCTCATCTTCCAGCAAGCTCTGTAAAAACGGAAAATAGTTTAACAAAGAAACTGTGAAAGATAACCCACCAATGCTTTCTCTGCACACTCTCTTGCAAAATTACTTCCATCCAAGCGACACTGTTCAACGGTAGTTTTCAAGTCGTCTATATTCTGCTTTCTCTCTTTCCATTCGATGACGTCTTCCGCGTAGAGCAGATACTTATCGACAGCAAGCTGTAACATCATATAACTTCGGCGTTGGGCAAGCTTCTACTCACAACTGGGAGTCTCACAACTCGAACCGACACTTCTGCTTTCACTGCTTACGATTGACATTTTTATCTGCGAAAAAAAAAGAAGTTGAGAGTGTTACGAATTATGAGAGTAATAATACAGAAGGAATTTGAAATAGCAGAGAAATTGTATTATACTTATGCAAGCCAAAAATTAGCTTCTGTACGATTTAATTGCTCGAAGCGGCTGAACATTCTCTCTAGAAGCTTGGGCGGAAAATACGGGAGAAAAACATTGAAAATTCGATAATTTTGTTAGCTGAAATCTAACGAAAACATCGGAAGTTAGCTGAAACTCGCCGTGAAAAGATTTTCGACGTTACTATTACTTGAGAATTTCCCAACTCACCAATTTTCTTCCGGTGTCTTTTCCAACGCGACATCTGCTACGGCTACTGTCTGAAAACTAAAAAGTGATACATTTCATGACTTTCGAACGAAAAAGACAAGAAAAACAAATTTAAATAACATAAAACATAAAAAAATACATGAATGTATGATTATAAATCGAAAGCTAATCATTTTCGAAACTCCATGTATAGACACGAGATGCGCAGATAGTTCAAGAAGGGGCACGGCAACGGCACGGAAGGGGCACGGGTGCGGTGTTCCACGGGCACTTTGAACGCGGCACCGTGCCGTTTGGATGCGGATCCTGTGCCCCTCTGTGCCCTAGCGTGCCGAAAATTTGCTGAGAAATCCATTGGTCCATGCTTATTCCTTGATTCGACATATGCCTTATTCTTAGAATCCTTCCTGAATCTATGAAACAAATTAGTTAATAAACCGAAACGAAAACCTTACGTTTTATTCGGTTCTGGGTGAAATCCTAAACTGATTTTGTACATTTCATTTTCCTCCAGACCAGTTAAATTGTAGGAGAACTCTAGATGTTTCTTCATTTCATCTTGGCCTTGGGCGACATTGAGAATTGCCACGCCTTCTTTTTGCGCTGCTTCTCTCCATTTTTCGATACTTGTAGATGTGACTTGAATATTGCTCATTGTGTCTGAAAATTTGAGAATTAGGTTCATTGGAATATTTAGTTTCAAATGTGAGAAAGAAAGCGAAAAAACATTAAAAAATGATGACATGAGAGTGAAATCTCGTGCGGTTCTGGGTAGATCAAAAATTTCAGGTCGTAGTAGATCAAAAAAAAATTGAGGTCTACACTTGGGTAGCAAGAAACATGTCAGAAAAGGCGCCCCAGTCAACTCGTAGGCCATCGTTTCAAACGTTGATACTCAGCCAATCAAGTCAGCAGCGAATTTAGAATTTTTGGGAACTTTGCTGGGGCGCGATTTCTGACCGGCTCTTCGAACCCCAGTATGAAGGTCTAATTTTCAAACAAATAATTATGTTTGATCTATTACGAACATGAGTTTGATCTACCAAAAGTTATCCAAAAATTTTTTTTCGCAGGACTTTGTTTCATGATTTTGGGACATTTCTCTCTGCATTTCGCGATTTTTGAAACCATCAAGTGCTACTCGATTTCAGACACAATGAACACAATTACGGTGAGATGCACTTCTGAAAAAGCGTGGCGAGAAAAAGGAGACGGAGGAGAAAACGAGGAATACAATGAAGTGAAATGCGCTGAAATCATATTGAATTAATTTCCACCGGAGAATTTACGATTTGAATACGAAGTCACTGGTCTGGAGGAGGACATTCATTACGAAATGGAATTGTTGTTCGATCCAAGCAAATATGCTGAAAAAATGCGAGTTTTTTTTTCGGCAGAAAAGGGTTTATGTTCTTACAATCAACCCTTGGGGCTCGTCTTTCCCAAAACTTCCAAAATATTCTAAAAAATAATTTTTTAGACATGTATAATACACATGATGTATTCCGATGATTTCCCGATTATTCGAAATTTTTGAATTTGAGCTTTTCTATTTTCATCAATTTTCAGATTACGAAGAGTTGAGAAGGAATTATTCCACGTAAGAACCCCAAGGGTGCAGGAACCAAAACAACTGGACATAAAGAAGATTTCTCATGTGAAAAATCCTCAGAAAGGAAGCGATTGGATGAAATCTACAGTAAATTTCGGTAAAATCCGGTTCCGAAATAAAAAACCTGCTGGTGCAAGTGAAGTAACGTTGACTAGTGGAGTAATGTATCATGTGAAGTTGAGAATCTGGAAAGAAGGAGGTGAAGAAAAGATATTCGAAATCGATTATCAGTATTTTGTGGCATGCTCTTACGAAGTAAGTTGAAGGGGTTAGAAATCTCGAGAAAATAAAATATTTTCAGTATAAGTCACAGACTTTCTTTTTTCAGTTCGAACCCACAGAAACAGCTTCTCGACAAGGGCCACCGCATGAAAAGATGCCATCTACGAGTGATAATTCTGTAATGCCCCTATTAGATCTACCTGAGCTTCAAGCACTCGGTGCATTTCCGTCTATTGGAAATTGTTTCCAACTGCATCAAATGAATCTGATGCCAGCTCTTCAAACATTCGTGGCTAATACCAATTTTCAAACTCTACGAGGCAGAATTCCTGAGCGGCTTTCGCAACAAGGAGCCGGACCATTTTTAAATGTAGTTTCTAAATTTCCGTTCTATAGATTCTTCACAGGGTAACGGCTGCGCATGGTATATGCGTTGGCGCCTCATATGGACGACATAGGTACACCGTTTGCGCGCATATAGTACGCTATATGCGCGCACGCGCCATTGAGATCATATTTCATCTACAATTTCAGGTCGTATTGGCGATGGATATCTCTTATATGGATTAATTCATCTAACTATAGTTGTAATAAGATGTGATTTTGTTCAGATCTTCCAATATCGTTCATTTTCCCTTTCAGATTTTACAGAGTGACCATTTTTCCAGTTTTCACAGAATTTTCTCACAGCAAGAAAATTTATGGCAGGAAGTTAAAAATATCTGGATGATATAACATAATAAATTTTTCCTTCAAAATTGCGATATAGAAAACTTGAAAAAATTCAACAAAGTCTTGAAATTGGCATTAATTCGCATAATTTTGTTTTTGAAATATAATTGTGTGTTTCTCGGATTTTTTCCTACTTTTACTTCGTAATAATTGGAAAACTTACCAACCAACCTGTATTTCACCTGAAAATATATATTATTCCGCTTATTCCGAAGTAAAACAGAAAAGTCCTAATTTCAAGAAAAACAGGATTTTTTTTCTTTACTAAAAATAGGTTTTGATTTCGTTAGCCATAATTTTTACATGTGAAAACAGTGAGAAGTTCTTTGAAAGCAGGAAATATGATCAATATGATCGAAAAATTGATCAAGATCGGCGGTGAAACACACATAGCATCCTATATGCGCGCCTAGGCATATACCATGCGCAGCCGTTACCCTGTGTTCTCATCATTCTAATTTCAGACACAACATGTCAACACTGAACAAAACCAACCAGAAACGATGCCATCTAGAAGCGATAATTTTGAATTTTCACTGTCTCCTCTTTTTGAGTTGCAAATTGCCAATGGAATGTTGCCTCATATATATCCAGAATTTGCTTACTCAGTTGCGCAGGCTCTTCATTCAATTTCTAACCAACCACAAGCCGGGCAAGTTCTAACTGTTGTACGTATCCTAAATTTTCGTTCCAGATTTTTCTCATCATTCTAATTTCAGCCACCTCCAGTCAACATTATTCAACCACAAGTTGTCGTGGAGCCAATTGAAGAGCCTCCAATCAATGTATAGTTTCATTTTTGACTGATATGCGATTGTAATTGATTTTAATTTTAGCTAAAACCTGAACAAGAACTTCCGAGACATCCAGAACAAGATTAACGTCTACACAACGCTACCAACAACCAAATTGTTATTTCCATGAACTAATAATCGATAATAATAATTAAATAATTAGTCTAACATTGATATATCAAATATTTTGAATCTATGTTTAAATTGTTTATTTTTTGGCCTATTTTTTATTGTCGGTTTTCATTGGACCATATTAAATAATGAATTCAATACTCCTTGAGCTCTGTTGAACAAATGAAAACCTGTTTTTTTAAAATTATAACTACGACAGCACAATGATCCAAAATCCTTGGACTTCTCTCCATTTTTCGAAAAAAATATTTCAAAAGTGAAAATGGAAACAAAAAATGATGAATTGAAAATCAGGTCTAGTGCCGTTCTGGGTAGAACAAAAGATTTAAGATATTGTTTTATTCAAGATTTTTTCAAAAAACGTTGCCTGAAGTAATCGACTTTTCAATTAGCGGGATACCATCAATAATCGACAGTATCGTAAAAATGTTTTGATCTACTTCGACAACTTTTGATCTACCAACAGTTGTCCAAAAACGTTGTTTTTTTTCGCAAGACTTTGTTTCATGTTGAAAACAAAGACATTTCTCTCTGTATTTTGCGATTTTTTGAACCATCAAGTGCTACTCAGTTTCAGACACAATGAACACAATTACGGTGAGATGCACTTCTGAAGAAGCGTGGAAAAGGAGGCGGAGAAGAGAAGACGGAGAAGTAATGAGGATACTGTCGATGTGGATAGTATTAACCATCCTAATTATGCTACAATCATATTGAATAAATTTCCCCCGGAGAATTTAAAGTTTAAATACGAAGTCACTGGTCTGGAGAAGGATAGTGAGTATGAAATGGAATTGCTGTTCGATCCAAGCAGAAATCTTCAACACAGGTAAGTTTCTTCAGAAGGAAAAAAGGGTTAATAAAAAAAAAAGGAAAGATAGCCAACGTTGGAGGGTGCAGAGAAAGTACCGTGAATGCTCTAATAGAAGCCTGCATTGCCCGTGCAATTTCTGCTGAATCGTCTCGGTTTTTTTGAATATCTTCATGAAGGAACGAGATAATACAGCTCGAAGTAAACTGTGGACTTCTATAGACTTCTAATTTCACATATTTTAAGTTGAAAATTGTCAAATTTAGAAGTCAAAATTCTCAGATTTCAAAGAAGGCCGGATGGATCATTCCATATAATCACCATATCGGAGGTTGAACAACTGCCAGTTTTACAAAGGATTCGTCATGAGAAAAAACAACAAACCGGAAGCTATTGGATGAAATCTAAAGTGAATTTCGATAAAGTCTGGTTTCGATATGCAAAAGACGATTGTAGAAAACCTGATCATGCGAAATATGATGTGGATTTGGCTAGTAGCAGAATGTATTATGTGAAGTTGAGAATCCAGAAAATACTAGGTGAAGAAAAGATACTTGATATCGATCATCAGTATTTCGTGGCATGCGCTCGTACAGTAAGTTGAAGGCTTTAGACATCTAGAAAATGAATGAACTTTCAGTTAAAGCCAAAGCAAGAAACGAAAAAAGAAGACAAAAAGAAGAACGAGACGGCTACAAATACAGTAATACTTTCAGATTTTTTACAATTCTGGTTCCCTTCATTTTTCAGTTGCAACCCAAAGACCGGACACCTCGGAAAAGGAGATCAAACGAAATGATGTCATCTCCAAGCGATAATTTTCAAATGTCACTATTTGATCAACCTGGCCAGCGAACGTTCAGTAGACAATCGACTACTGTAAATCCTATCCAACTACCGCAGATGAATATCGATATGAGATCAATATTTGGATTATTTGAAGCTACACGAAATATCAATTTTAAAAATCTCCTAGGCGGATTCGCTGAGCCGTTTTTGGAACAAGGACCCGGACAGTTTTTGAATGTATTTTTAAAAATTGTTGTTCTAGGTTTTACTCATGATTCTAATTTTAGTCACAACCAGTCAATATTGAGCAAGGGCAGCGACAAATGATGCCATCTACAAGCGATAATTTTGGAATGCCCCTATTAGACCTACTTAAGCCTCAAACACTCGGTGCATTGCCATCTACAGTAAATCCTTTTCAACCGCAACAAATGAATAGCAATCTGATGTCAGCTCTTCAAACATTCATGGCTACACAAAATATTAATCCTCAAATGCTGCAAGGAGCCGGACAATTTTCTTATGTAGCATTCTAATTTTCCTTATAGATTTTTCTCATAATTCTAATTTCAGCTACCACCAGGCAATATTGAGCAAGGGCAACCACAAATGATGCCATCTACAAGCGATAATTTTGGAATGCCCCGATTAGATCTTCCTGATCTACTTGAGCAGCAAGCGTTCAGTGCATTTCCTCCTCCAGTAAATCAAGAAACTATCAACTCAATTTGGCAGGCTCTTCGTTCAATTTCTAACCAACCACAAGCCGGACAAGTTTTAACTGTTGTATGTATTCTGAATTTTCGTTCCAGATTTTTCTCATCATTCTAATTTCAGCCACCACCAGTCAACATTGAACAAGGGCACAAGTTGTTGTGAATCCAGTTGTTGTGAATCCACAAGTTGTTGTGAAATCACAAGTTGGTGTGAATCCAGTTGAAGAGCCTCCAATCAATGTATTGTTTCATTTTTGAAAAAATTGGTGATGTCAATTTGCTTCAAATTTCAGCCAGAACCGAAACATGGATCTCCGAGACACCCAGAACGAAATTAACGGCTGCACAACACTTGTCAGCAATTAAATTATTATTTACATGAGCTAATAATCGATAATAATAATTAAATAATTAGTCTAACATTGATATATCGAATATTTTGAATCTATGTTTTAATTTTTTATTTTTCGGCTTATTTTTTATTGTCGATTTTCATTGGGCTCTGCGTTTGTTTTCTACAGTATAACCGGTGGTGAAGCTCTGTTTTTGTTTTTGTTTTTGAATTGTTATATCTATTGTCGGATTAAAAAAAGTGACACCTGAAAATCTCGGAGACGGCGCTCGTGTCGATTTACGAGGGGGCGGAGCGAAAACGGATACTGTAGATAACAAATTTATTTATGTGAATTTAGTGGGATATTCTGAACAAAATTTCGATTTCTTGGTATGAATATGATCGCTAGCATCTCTAGAATCTATTTTATAGCAGAAAAACTAAACTTAGACGCGAAAGTAGCTCGAACGAGCCGAAATTCTGAAATATTGAGTTTTTGCCGCACTTTTTCGTAGATCAAAAAAAGCAAAAGTTTTCAAATTCTCAGGTGTCACTTTTTTTAATTCGACAATATTGTGGAATTGAAAAACAGACACCTGTAAAATTTCGCGGGCGGAGTTCGTGTCGATTTACGAGGCTCCGCCCTAAAATCGGGATACTGTCTATTCAATAAAACGTGGGCGCGCCGCAGCCGAAAAAGGGGGCGTTCCTGATACGCCCCTTTTTGCAACAGTGGCACACACTTTTTCGGGGAAATTTTTCTCGGAATTTTCAGATGTCATTTTTCACACTTTTTCTCATAGAAATTGACTAAAATCGAGTTTTTAATGTAAAATAATCCAGAAAACATGAGTATCACACCACAACGAACATTCCCCCTTCAACCGGCAACCCCAAGAAGCCATCGCCGTCTAGGTATGAAGACGCTGAAGCAATTCTGGAACAAATTGCGCAGGAAAAGAGAAAAAATGTGAACATTAAGTATTCAGAATTTTTTTAGTATGAAAACAACAAAGAAACATTATTATCTGCAAAGAAAAGTTATGAATTATGAATGATGATGGAGCGCTCTGAAATTTATTTTATTTTTCACGATTTTAGGGTTTGTTGTCTAATTATTATAAATTTTTCTTCTTGTTCCTATTTCTTCCGACTGTCCAGTGTTGTCGATCTTTCGCTGAAAAAAAAACGATTAAAATTCGTTAGCATATCAATGAGCGCCATAAAAACTAGCAAAAATATCTCGAATAATCATAATTAGAAGAAAAACCAAAATTTTCTTCAAAACCTTAAAAAAATGATGAAGAAATCGAAATTAAACACCAAAAATTAGTCAAAGTCGCTTCATTAATCGACGAAAACGCGAGGAAAAACGCAGAGAGGTGCGTGCGCAAAAATATCCCGGAAAAAGTGTGCGCCACTGTTGCATAAAGGGGCGTGTCGCGTAAGCGCCGCCCCTTGCCCAGATTTTATTGTACAGACAGTACTGTACTGAAAAAATTAATTTCTGTGAATTCAATGATTTTCTGAACCGAATTTAGGTTTCTTGGTATGAAGATGATCGCTAGCATCTCTAGAATCTGGTTTTCATCGAATAACTAAACTCAATCGCGGAAGTGGCCTTTTTTTCAAATCCTCAGGTATCAGTTTTCTTAATTCGATAATATTTTGAGTCATTATTCACCGGGAATTTATTTCATAGAGGTAATTTGAAAAAGAATCAGAACGGGAAAATCACAGTTTGACAACATTTTGCAAAAAAAACTTTCACAGAAAAAATCGGTCCAAAAATAAATACAAATAATATGAATCCAAAGATGTTAGTTCGAAGGAATTATTGCTCATTTTCTTTCTTTTTGGCTCCCTCCTCCCCCTGCTCCTTTTTCAGTTTTTCCTTCTCTTCTCTTTCCTTCTGAGCTTCTGGAAATGGCTTGAATGCGGATGGACCCGGTCCTGATAATAATTCAATTAGTTTCTGAAACTGCAGAAACATTTTTGATTGAAAATCATTAATTTTGATACCTGAGGTGTTGTGTACATCCACTTCCAGCTGTGTTTGCTCAGCTACAGGTTCTGGTGGCTGAAAATGGGAGTTTTCAGCAGTTGGTTAGTTTCAAGCGGTATATCTCTTTTGGATGAAATTTTACAGGAAAGTTGTCAACTACAAGATTGAAGCTCCACTTTTGTTTAGTACCAGCAAGCTGGTGCGCCTTCGGCGCGATTTAATATTTTTCTTTACTGGTTCATCACTTCACTCCTCATGGTTTCTTAAAGGGTCACGTAAATCTATATTTATTTTTGAAGATTTTCAAAAGTCCACAGATCCTCAAGAGGACGGACAGACGCCTCTAGCGTTTTATTGATAAGAAAGATACTCTAAAATTTCCAGACAAATTGAAGAATTCTAGATTACTTTCTCAGGACTTCAAAATTGACGATTACCAACTGAAAACTGTAAAAATTCGAACCTTTGACGATTTAGGAGGCTTGGGAGGCTTTGACTCTGAAGCGGAATCGGCCGAAGTGGACCCTTTTTGATTTTTTGAGTGTTTCTCGGACCTTCCGAATCCCATACTTGTAACGGGCCGGGCCGGGCTTTTCGAGAATTTCGGAGGCCCGGCGGGCCCGTCATTTCACTAGTTTTGAAATTTTCAGAAAACACATATTGTCTATTCAATAAAACGTGG